TTTTGCAACAACACAATACGATTTAAATTTGACGGATAAGTGGAGCCCCAGACTAGTATACAATATTGCATATATGGATAAATAAGAGAATAGTATCACAAAACTAACGACGATTTAGAAACGTAAAAGCTTGCTTTTTTTATAATCCCAATCGATTTCGAAATTTTCCTGGCTATGTACGATATATGGGATTTCCACGTGAGATGTTCATCTAGGATCACCCCGAGAAAACTAATCTCTTTTACTAATTCGATTTTATAATTATTTAGCAAAATGTCTAGCTCAACGTTGCATCGTTTTTGTCTTGGTCTGAAAATCATGAAATGGGTCTTTTTTAAGTTAACGGATAACTTATTACATGAAAACCAAACAGATAATTTATGTAACTCTTGATTAACATGTTCAGATAAGGAGGAAAGATCTCTATTCGCATAAAACAAATTTGTATCGTCAGCAAATAGAACAAACTGAAACACACTGGAAACATTACAGATATCATTAACATATAACAAGAAAAGTAATGGTCCTAATATTGAGCCTTGTGGTACGCCACACTCGATAATCTTTTTTTGAGAACATGCACCATTGTATTGAACAAACTGCTGTCTATTACTAAAGTAACTCCTAAACCAGTGTAAGGCTTTCCCTCGGATACCGTAATGTTGGATTTTTGCAAACAAAATATTATGATTAACTGTGTCAAAAGCCTTAGACAAGTCTAAGAAAATTCCAATTGTAAACTCATTTCTTTCTATTGCTGAAGAGATTTTGTCATATAATTGAAGTAAGGCTAGAGAAGTTGAGTGGTTTTTTTCTAAATCCATATTGATGTTCAGTAAGAATACCACATTTATCCAAATAGTTCAATAAACGATTGTAGACAAGTCTTTCAAATACTTTAGAAAAAATTGGTAAAACCGAAATAGGTCGATAATTAGATATTATTCTAGTATTCCCCGATTTAAACACTGGTACTACTCTTGCAATTTTTAATGGATCGGAAAAGACACCAGATGATAATGACAAATTGACCAGGTGAGTAAGAAAATTGGCAATTAAATCAATAGATTCTTTGACAGCAAATACAGGTATATTATCATAGCCACAAGCTACGCCATTCTTAATAGAATTAACAATCTCAATAATCTCTTGCTCAGTAGCTTCATCTAAGAACATGCTATTTACAAACTCTCCGGTAAGAAATGAATTTGGAGAAACCGATACATTTTGAATTTTACTTGCTAGATTAGAACCTAGGCTTGAAAAGTATTTACAAAATTGATTGGCTATAACATTAGCGTCAGAATGCTCCAATCCATCAATAATGAAACTAGATGGACCTTTCTTAACCTGCTTTCGCTTATTAATAATTTCATTCAGAATACTCCACGTCTTTTTACAGTTTGTCCTATTTCGGTTTAGTTGCTGCTCATAATAAAGACGTTTTGCTAGTCTTATTGAATGATTCAATTTATTTTTATATCTCTTATAGTTATTGGTGGTATGGATACATGGAGAGTGAACTCTCTTAGTCTTATTGAATGATTCAATTTATTTTTATATCTCTTATAGATATTGGTGGTATGGATACATGGAGATGAACTTGAAACACAAACCGTTTGGGCTTTGCACCTATCTGACCCAATTTTCGCTAGATATTTGAGAAACATCAGACCAGAACTTTCCATTGATACAGAGACAAAAATTCGGGTCGGACCGGCCAGGTCATTAAATGGAAAGCGCCCCAGAATTGTATAGCCTAGCACTGAAACGTGTACATGAACAGAAAAACCACTTTTGAAATCGTTAAGTTTAGTGAAAAACCCAGATTTAAGTACTATTTAAAAAACGAGCAGGAGTGTTTTATTAGGTTTAAAGAAGAACTTTAGAACTAATAAAACACGACCTGCGAGTATGCATAATAAGTCAAATCAAACGTATGCATAATAAGTCAAATCTTTATATAAAAATCTTTATATAAAAATCTTTATATAGTTTGCATAACAATGGTCTTTTGTTAAAGTGTTCTTTAGCTGGTATAAAGACGTATGCACGTGACTAATTTCTTACTCAAGATTGGATAATTGGTTCATGAATTATTAATGAGTTTTTGAATATTATATACTGTCGATGTGCTTGACGCACTATTATTCTGTATTATTATATTTAAATGGGAAGGGGAGGGGGGACGAAAGCTACATATGCCACAAGAGTGTCAACTCCACTTGTTTGCCGAAAGGGCCACGTTGCGATTTTAGACCCCTGTGATGAAGACACTAGATGAAGTGTCCAAACGAAATTTGTAATGACCATTTACTTTGAGCTGTCTATAGTTCCGAGAGAAATTATGTCAGATATTTTAACCTGGTGGTTTAGTAGACTATAGTTGTGAATTTAACTTATGGCCACCGTCATGCAAGTTCTTGGAAACAGGCTTTTTCTGTTGTTCGGCAGAATAGACCAAAATCATTCAAATTTCGAATAACTTTTGACTGTATACCTTTTGATACACAAACAGCCTTTCCTTTAACAACTTTACATATGCCGTCTTTACCACAAAATTTCAAATTACATGGATTGGTCCGGGTAGCTATAAATCAAAAAAGAAAATTTATTACAAGGAAAATCATTTGGTGATCAAAGATTGATTGACTTTATAATTAACTAAGTTTTTCAGCCAAAATTTCGTTTCCTCGTAATTATCCCGTGATGAAACAGAATTAGCAGGGGAATCAATAAATAATTTGGCTTTTGCCAAAAACTTCATGTGTTTGAGCTCAAGGTCGAGACACATATTAGAGAGCGCACGCAAGTGACGTTTTTTATTCGACTGCCGTTCTTGATTTCAAGCACGAACAGCTCACGGTCCGTGTTGTAAAAACCCTCGCTTTCTTAAGATCTCAATAAGTATTGTCCAATCTACAAACACGTGCAAAACGTATCGAGACAATATATTCATTGCCCCCTTTCTCCTCATATAATGTTGGAAATGTGCATGCAGGATACACAGGCAGACAGCCTGTCCAAATTCTTTCTAACGTTGTATTCAATGGAAGAAAGCGCTTAGACTGCATGATGCATTCACAGGACTTAGTTATGGGTTCATCCTATGAGTGAGTTGAGTACTTACTTGGGGAGCAGTTAACCCTGCGTCTTCGATAATAGTATTCTGATTTGCAAGCACAGAAGCTTACACAAGTTGCTTTAGGATAGGCAGGACAGCTTGGAAAGAAACATGCTGGCACTGCACATCGAATGGGTTCTTTCACCTGGCATGTTGGACCTATATGAAAAATGAAGGAAAACGTACTAGACAAAATGGGTTTTAGTCCTCTTTTTGAAATTTGGACATTATTTGTGATGTGGATATGCAAAAATCCATATATTGCAACAGAACGCTTGCTTTCTCGCGTGTTGGGGACGTTCATTATTATATCAATGATCGGTTGGGGGATACGATAATTATATTCACGTACTCATACCCTGTCCCTGAACGAGGATTGCAAGAAATAATGGTGCATGATGGGAATGATCATAAATTGTATAATTTATAGCGTTGACGAATGGGTACGAGTCTGACTTTTATTCATTCATATATTCATTCAGTGATGTGCGTTAAAAAGCCAGTAATTCTTGACTCAAGAATTAAATCTTGACTATCCATGTAAAAAGTGTGTCTGTTAGTTAGCAGCATTCTACATTATTATTGCATGGTGATCCAAGCAACCACAGTGATGTAACAATGCATCATCGTAAATGTAAGTTTCTTGTATTGGATATATTCTTACATTTTCCATATTTCACAAATTTGATATTTGTCTTGCTCCTGCATCTTGCACGCGTCAGCTCACAGAAACCATGGTATGTTTTTCCATCAGAGGCACAGATGGTAGGGAATCTCGAATAACATCGAATATTGCAAAGTAATCGGTCCACTATATAGAACAGTAAATAATATATAGTAATATTTAGAATTAAAGTTATAGTTAGGTGCAAGCTTAGACTTGGATCAAGTCCGTCTCTCTTCCCGCGTTATTGCACCTCGCGCGTCCGATCCCTCGGACTCTTGAGAGACGGACTTGTCCAAGTCTAGTGCAAGCTGTGCTTGCTTCTAATGGACTTCTGTACTTGCTTTTAAGGCCGTTTTCCATTAGGCGGAATTTTGCGCGCGGAGTGGAATTTTACTTTTCTTATTGTGATTTCTTGGGTGGAACTAATTAGAAAAGACAAAGAAAAATTCTGCTCCGCGCGGAAAATTCCGGCCAGTGGAAAACGGCCTTTACTTGCTTCTACTGCGCTTGCCGGGCTATCCCGTGACCTCATGTGAAACAAATAACAATTTGGCCATGCAAAGCGAGATAGCCCGGCTCATCTGAACAGGCGCTTAGAATTGATTTATGAATTTTTAAAAATATTGTGTCGAACAATTGATCTGGTGTAAAACAAAATCTACCTGGAAAATTTGTCAATTCCATCGTTGCTAAATTCACCCCGGAACAGAGTGGACAAATTAAGTCACTGTAGCCGCAATTTCTGATCGTGGAATACGTATACATTTTTCGGAAAACTGGTTTAATTAATCAATTAAAATTTACAAAAGAAGTTTGTTAATTACTGTTGTGTCTTAGGTTTTACTAGTTTTAATAGCTCAAATTCGCTTCTACAATATGTGTTACTTCTCCGCTCTCGCTCGCCGAGGCTTACCGGAAGTGACGTAACACTACATCACCCCCTTTTTCTAACAGAACAAAGGAATGTCAAATGTTTCAAACTGTCAATGCAAATGTCCAAATAAATTTCTCTATGAAGTTATTGTTTGAGTGTTTTTTTGTTTTTTTTACAGTCTCAACCCCGAGTTTATTGGGTGTCCATAAAAGTTTGTCTGCCGTGTGTTTCGTGTAGATCTTCTAGGCTCTTGTTGTTCTTGTTGGTATTGTTCCTGTACTTGGTCTCCTTCTTCTTCTCTTCTGCTAACAACATCCTCATCATCCTCTTCTCGACTAACCGCTTGTTCCGCTATCTTCTTGAAGAACGATACATTTCGCGTGATGGAATGTTGTTGGTTTTTCGCGACTACTTTTGACCCTTTTATGGCAACGATAGTATATGGCGTAGGACTGAAATTGGTTGAAAATT